TTTCCGATCTAAACGCCGATTGTTTTCAATCGTTTCTATCTTATGTTCAAATTCCTTCGTAATTCGTTCACTCTTCGTCTTTAATGTTTTGATATGATCCTCATKAAGACAATTTTTGCTATGTAAATTTATGGAATGATCTCTAAGAACCATATAATTCGTTTCTAACTGAACAATCTTCTCTCGCAATTCCTGATTTTCCTTCTTTAGGATATCTGCCATTTTAAAAAAAATGATCAGTTAAGGATCTATGCAGTGAAATCAGATAAATGAATACGAACAGTTAAGCTCAAAAAGTAAAAGAAAAACACAAACACTGAAAAACACACGCAAAAACAGATATACAATGATTCAAAAGAAACTAAAAACAGTCTAAAACAATAACTACTTTTATGCCTTTCTTGAGTAAAATCCAGATTGCATAAGTAGGTACTCAACCATAAAGATGGGCCAAGTGATCAAGTCCAACATATTCCAGTTCAGATGCCTTAGGCAATTAGTAGTTTATGTTGAACTCTTACTTAGTTCTCAGTTTGCTGGTGTAAACCATCACTAACAATCATACAAATGGCCGACCGTATGTAAGAATTCTGCCCAACCTTCAAGTGATATAAAAAAAATCAGACTGTTACTGGGGACAGTCAAACAAAGGCTAGGCTTCAATTATTTCCCTTTGAACTATTAAAAATATCAACAGCATTTGCAGCCTTAAAGAATGTGTTCCCTTCTTTTCTTCTTTTCCTCACTAAGCCCCTCACACGGTCTTTAACCTGTTGTATCTCACTGCACAATCTAGCTCTGTTCCTGTTCTTGATCTTTGTTTCCTCAAGGCAACTTCAAGTCTTGCTTTTGGAGTTGTTGAAATGCGGCTACTAAACCTTTAGAGCATCCGCAGCAGCAACAGAAACAACAGCTTCAAATCTTGTAGACTGGAATAGAGAATCAATTGTGTTACAGTAGCTTCAACAGAAACAGAAACAACAATCTTGGTTAACAGCAACAATCTAGAAACTGTATCTTATGAAAAACAGCAACTGTTTCTTCAAATTGGTGTGACCAACAATCAATACAAAACAGTAAAACAATCAATACAAAGCTGCTAAAAAGAAACCCAAAAACTGCTGCTGCAAGTCAAGAACACATATACCAGTCACAAACAATATAGCCAATCTGTCCAAAATAATCCAGCAAATTCAAACTCCAAAACTACTTCTGTATCTGTCAATGATGAAACGAAACAGAAACTCTTAAAACAGTCTCTAAACAGCCACTTCCTCACAATGGACAGGCATCTTAGTATGCTCCTCACAAAAACTGCTATTGCTTAAACCTACAAACACCAAACAGCATGTCTAAACCTGTCAAGATTTGAATGTTTAACCGGACAATATGCAATTCTTAAGCCTGCACAATTCAACTAAGCTGCTGCTTTCTTGTTGTTGCTGTTGAAATCACAGCAACTTGTTGCTGTTGCTGTGAACTTGCTGTTAAGAACCTGCAACCTGTTCACTACTGTGAAGTTGCTGCTGCTTCAAGAACTGTTAAGAAATGCAATCTGTTTTTCTTCTGGTTGCTGTCTAAACACAGCACAACAAACTACTTTTAAGAACCAGCTGTTAAAGCTGTTTCAAATCAATCTTTCTTTGCTGTCAAAAACAAAAATCAAGACACCTGATGTTGCTGCTTAGTTGCTGTCAAAACAAACTGTTAGGCTGCTGCTGTTTGCAACCTGTCACTTGTACATCACAAACACAGTTACGTTGCTGCTGTTTTCTTCTGTCCAAACACAAACACAGCATTAAAAAAAACTTAAACTGCTGTCAAGACATGATGTTGTTGCTTAAAAAAAAATTTGCTGCTGCTGTTTTGAAGTTGCTGCTGCTTTCTTGTTTTGGACTTGCTGTTGCGGAGTTGTTGTTACAATTGAGTTACTGTTTAGAAACCTGTTGGCAAGACATCCTAATTGTTGTTGCTTCTGTTTCAGTCAAAACTCATATCCTGTGTAGCTAATAGTAGCTCACAGTCACCTGCACACAATGTTAAACTATAATTAACTTGCGGCTACTTATGACAACAAAACAAAATTGCTTCTTCAACCTGCTGCTTCTTTACCTTTCTTCTGTATGAATAGTGAATAAGAATCCCAAATCAAAAAGAATCAAGAAACAGCAAACAAAAAGGAATCAAGGTAAGAGGAATCAAGCGGATTAGAAGTCCGCTCAAAAACTTTGATGACCAATTCTAAGTTCTATACCKCTCGAATACCGGACAAGAGTTGATCGGTTTAGGTATAAACCGCTCAAATTAAAAACTTGAGATGAAATTGAAAATCAAACCTGATGAGTTGTGCTTAGCCGAGAAATTGATTGGGTCTTGAAACAAACCGGAGAACAATCCGATCAATAGGTGAGCGGTGTAGATGAATACCTCTTGAAATACCGATCATACCTTCTCCGGTGTATCTCACGGTTTACCTTCTTCGCTAGTTCTCCGCTCGTTCTCAACTCAAGTGGCACACGGTTTAGACGAACACCGCTTGAATGGTGTGCGGTTTACTTGAACACCGCCTAGTCTGAATGAAACCTGCGATTGAGCTCTAGTCTGCACAAAATGTCGATGAGTTGCACAAGATGAAGTAACCGGACTGTTATCCGGTCAAGTTATATTGGGCCAGACTTTCTGGTTGGGCCTTGAACATGTTATGCACTCTAACAAGAAATTCAACACAAAAAAATAAAATCGGATTAAAACTATCAAAAACACAAAAACTAAAAGAAATTTTTTAAAAAAAATGGATCAAAACACTGATTTACGAAAAAAAATTAAGAACACGAAAAAAATTTAAAACCTAAAAAATCCGATCAAATCTTGATAAAAGTTGATCAAATCACAAAAATTTGTGAATAATAAAGATTCACAATGCAATTTCGAGCATTTTGATCATTTTATAACATGAAAACACAAGATTTTATGATAAAATCGGATCAAACAGAGAAAAAAAATTAAAAACACGAAGAACACAAAAAAAATTCAGAAACTAAAATCACTTATCTTTCAAATTCTTCATCCGATTTCTTGCATTCCAGCTCTGATACCAATTGTGTGTCCACAATCACTGATCAATCTTCATATTAAGCTTCCTTCAATGGCAGATTCATAGATTTAACAGTAAGAACACTATGAACACTTTATGAATATTGAGAGGAAAAGTCAATCCTCTCAATTCTGGTCAAACCTTCTATTATCAATCTAAATATTACAATTAAGCTCACTCTCTACAATTACAAAGATTAAACCATATTTATATGGTCAACCTAACTAACAAAGTCAAAGTCAAACTAGTCTAAGAAAGTCAAACACGCTGACTTTACAATTATAGACTAAAGTTAATCTTTCAAGACGAATACAATTAATACTGATTTTTCAGTCCTAACATAACCGGTGTGAGACTCCTACACTTATTTATTGTCCAATGGAGGCTAGACATGTACTAATTGTCCTATAGTGTCAAGAGGGGGCTAGACGAGTACAAATTGCCTAGAGTGGTAGATTTTGACGTTGATATCATGGAAGAATATATGAAAACCTTAGATTGCTCTTCAGAAGGGTTCTTGAAACAAAAAAAAATGTTCTACCACAAAAGAAATAGTCGAAAACTAACCGATGTAAAACTTTAACAGATTCGGTTTTCAAACCCCCAACCAGATAGAGCATGGTAAGAGAATTGGGGATTGGGACAACGGAACACGCCCCATGTCCTCCCCATTCCCATCCCAACATCCAAAAATCATAAATCTTATCCACCATTGATTCGAATTCTGAAAAATTGAAATGAAAATAATTATTTTGAATTTAAGTCGTATTAATTAGTTTTGTTGTTTAGTAAAACCGATTGTGATTATGTTTTTCTAATTCTTTTAGTATAAAAATGATCACGAATAAGTTGTAAGGAAAATTATTTTTAAGGTTAAAGATAATAAAGTTATCTAAACTTTCTTAATCCTATAAAATAAGACGTGAATTCATTGAAAAAATTTGAAAAAAAAACTAATTAAAAATACATATGTGAACTGATATTGCAGATTACTTATATGTATTCACAAATGCATTTTTCAATTATTTACACATGAACCTTTCATTCTCGCAATATTTAGCCCTTTTATTTGAATCACCACTATGCAACTAAATTATTAATTTTAATTATAATAATCAATATATTTTTTGTTAGAAAATTGTTATATTTTAATGGCCTAGACTATTTATATTAATATTTATGTTAATCTCATATTAGTGATAAATGTTTAATTTGGTTATCTTAGTTATGACTTAATTACATACAGGTCCTCCGCTTATCTCGATGGACGATAACGGTCCCTGTAACCAACTGTAACCGACTGTAAATAACTATATTTTGTGGTTATCTCTTCCTTAATCCTCTTGATG